TTCATGTGCTGCCCGTCTCTCTGCTTCCCTACCTGGGCTTATGGGATCCTATTTGTAAAAAATCTTTCCCACATCTCTTGAAGAGGTTTAGTAAACTGTACAATGGAAGAATGCACAAGGAAAAGGAGACGTTGTTCAGGAACATGAAGGACTTTGCCAATTCCTCAGGAAAGCTCCGCCTGCTAGAGATTGGCGTAGGCACAGGAGACAACTTCGAGTTTTACCCCTCAGGCTCTCGGGTAACCGGCGTGGACTACAATCCCAACTTTGAAAAATTCCTGCTGGAGAGCATGGCGAAGAACACGCACCTCGAGTTTGAGAACTTTGTGGTGACCTCCGCCGAGGACCTCTCTTCTGTGCCTGACAGCTCTGTAGATGTGGTAGTTGGCACGCTGCTGCTTTGCTCTGTGGCCAACGTCAAGGCTGCCTTAAAGGAAGTTCTGAGAGTGCTCAGACCAGTAAGTCGGAGGGCGAGAGGGGGAATGAAGTCTGGTCTGACCAGACCACTGAATAAGGGGTTTGAGGGCTGGACCTGCTCTGAGAAAGGGCTTTAGCTCTCACAAAAACAGCACCTCTCTGCTCTTCCCCATTTCAGGCATAAACTTAATGAGATCCCTCCTTAAAGCAGCCACAGCCTTTTTAGGCTCACACCCCCATGCGTTTCTGAATCATTTTCAGAGCGTGTACAACCACCTTAATGACTACGTGCACAGCGTTCATGTTAGTAAATGGCAGCAACCTTCTGGCCTAGACTGGGCTGAAATAAGATCCCGGTTGGTCCTTGGAGCTAATCTCCAGAAAATACTAGTGCTGTAAGCCAGACTGAAAAATTAAAATAATCTCCAAGAAATGAAAAGCATTTCCCTGCAGAATTCCAAAATTGTGTTCTTCTGGTGCTGAGGGGCACAATAGGGAGGCTGGGGATAGTATGTGGTCTTGGCCAGCTTTGGGGTGCTCTACATTACGCAGTTTGAAAAAGAAAGCATCCAGACCCTACATGTTCTGCTTTACAGAGAAAAGTAGCAATCATCTCCACAGATGGAGAAGTAGGTATTCTCTGGCTGCCTTCTGTAATCAAACAATAATCAAGTGGGAAAGGCAACCTTATCTTCCCTAGAGGAATAGTGGAGTTGTTCCAAACCCTGCAATATGACTAAAAGTCAGATATTGTTCCTAGG